CTGACTTTTGCTCAACATCATGTCTATACTGCCAATGATGTGTGTGGCAATATTTTTATTCATACTCATTGTGGTACACTAGTATTCTATGTGATTTTACCACATAGATAATGGATGTATAAGGACATATCCATTCTACCATGGGTGGACATTTGGGTTGATTCCAGCTTGGGATTATTATGACCAGTACATTTAGAAATATTCTGCCACATATGTGGTGGACAAACTCGTTTCTTTTGTGCTTGTATGAGCGGTATTTCTACATATATGTAGGGTATGTTCTGCTTTAGAAGATACTGCCAGTTTTCCAAGTTTTACCAACTTACATTCACCCAAAAGTTTATGAAAATTCCAGTTGCTATATTTTTGTCAACACTTGATCTTGTCACTTTCATTTTAGCCTTTCTGGTGAATGTCTTTGTAAATTTATACTTAATATTTTTCTTATTCCCTGTAGACTCTAAGTGTTACTTTTTTATTTAGTTATTTATAATTCAGTTATTATAGTGATTAGTTAATTATGAATGTTATATAACTACTTGTCTGTCCCCTCCCACCTGTGCTTCAGAAACAGTCCTTAAACCACACACTATTGTATGGGACACCAATGGTAGTAGAAGGGGGCTTTTAGGGTGAGGTGCTTATCTCCAAGGCCTTTACCAGTACTCTGCACACAGTAGGTCCAAAATAAATATTATATAAGTACATGAAAAGATAATATGAAAGCATGAGGATATGCAGGTGCCTTGCTCGTTTTAGGCTTTAGGCTTGGCACAGGGGAATCCTGTAATAAACAATGTCTGCTATACCAAACCGGCCTCTGGAGGCCTGAAATTTTAGGCTTGGGCCCTGATACAGCCTCAGGCCATTAAACATGGCACACACATGATGATTGTCATATTGTTGTAACACCCTGAGACTATATTAATTATATATTGCACATTAAACTACAATAGCAGGTGGCAGATCTGGGCACACTGGGAAGGGATATGTTGCTGTGAAATCTCACTTTAAATGAGATCATGAGCTACAGACACCCGATCAGCTGTGGGTCATGGGCATAGAGCATATCCAGCTCAGGCTCAGGAGTCAGTTTTCCTTTGCATTGTCCCCGCTGGTCCTTCCTCCCTTCCAGTCTTGCAGACTAGCTGTAAACTGGGATATAATGGTACTGCTTCTGTGGAATTGTTTGAGGAGTAAATGAGTTATATTATGTAAAGCGCTTTGCCCAGCACCTGGCCCACAGCAAGGTACGGGATAAGCAGTAGTCCTTTTTATTATTGCTGCTATTGTTAAGAGCAGCTAGAGGTGAGGAATGTTAGGTGGCCATGCCTGACACCAAGTGTGAACATGGCCCTGGGCTACAGGGAAAGGAGCAGAAAAGTGAGCACAGGTGGCACATGTTACCTTCCTCCATGGGGAGTTATCACTTCCAGCACAGATTAGGCCAGGAACATTGGACACTGCTTTCCCTGGGGGAGTGGAGGGCAGTTTTTGACCACCAGCTTGTGCATCAGGACCCTCAAGGCCTGAATGACTCCACTCCTAGGAGAGATTCCTTTAAGAGCAGGAGACATGCCGTGGAGTTTGAATCTGTCCTAGAGGGGAAATTTCTACCTTCTGGAAAGGTTCTGTCAGAGCCTAGACAAGGCCCCTAGTGCAATAAGGAAAACTGCCTCTGGTCACACCCATATTGTCACCTTGCTTGAACTGATGCAATAGCCAGACGCTCTCAAGGTGCTTATCAATGGTTCCCTCCTCCCTCTGGCTCCCTTCTCCTAAGACAAGAACCCAGTGCTGCTCACACTTGGAGGTAGTTCAAGTGAGATGTCAAGAGGGGAATGTCTAATGCTGCCCTGGGAGAAAACAGACAGCCTTTGCCACAAAATCCTCCTAACCGAAGCCTGCCCCTCGGCTTTCTGAACCCCTCATTCTCTGACTTACCAAAGGAACCTGTGCAGAAATAGAATTGGGCAAGGCTGAACAAGACTGGCCATGAGTCCATAATTATGGAGGCTAAGTGATGGGCACAGGGGTGGAGGTGGGGGTGGGGGTGTCTATTTTTTCTTATATTCTACTCTTGTGAAAGTTTTCCACAATAAACTTTCTGAAAAGAAGCTACCATGATCCAAGGCCTGACAGGGTAAAGGGTATCTTCTTGATCTCTGACTAGAGATTTCCCTAAATCTGAGTGCACCCAGCAAGGGAAGTGGGGTGGGGCAGCGGGCTGGCACTGTCTGGCTTCAGTAAATCAAGAAAAGTCTGTAAGTGTTTTCCAGGGAGAGAGAAGCAGTAGTGTTTCTCGGGCTTTGAGAGAAATGTTTCAGCAGGAGAGAAGGTGAAAGGGATTGATAAGCCAATACCTTGACTACTGGTGAGTCTGAGTTCTCTTGCCCCACTCCAGTCTTTAATCCAAGGTGAAGTGTACTTTCCCAAGTCTCCACATATAGATGGCTGGGCCCTCCACTGTGAGTAGGGGTCTTGGGCTCTGGCCTCCACATGATCCAGGTAATCTTCCTGGTCTCCCTTCTGCATGCATCCCCCTGCAGCTGAAAGCCACACTCCACATCCAGGACTCCTGAGATCTGAAATCTTATCAACTACCCCAAGGCCTCTCCTGGCCATAGGCCTTAATACACTGGCCAGCTCCCAACACTACTTGAAGGGGCCTTTTAGAAGCCTTCAGGTTGAACACAAAGACATAAAAGGTATCCAGATTGGCAAGGAAGAAGTTAAACTGTCCCTGTTTGCAGATAACATGATATTGTACATAAAAAACCCTAAATAATCCACTCTAAAACTACTAGATCTAATATCTGAATTCAGCAAAGTTGCAGGATACAAAATTAATATGCAGAAATCTGTGGCATTCCTAGACACTAACAATGAACTAGCAGAGAGAGAAATCAGAAAAACAATTCCATTAACAGTTGCATCAAAAAGAATAAAATACCTATGAATAAACCTAACCAAGGAAGTGAAAGACCTATACTCTGAAAACTACAAGACTCTCATGAGAAAAATTAAAGATACCAATAAATGGAAACACATCCCTTGCTCATGGATAGGAAGAATTAATATTGTCAAAATGGCCATCCAGCCTAAAGCAATCTACAGATTCAATGCAATTCTTATCAAAATACCAACAGCATTCTTCAACGAACTAGAGAAAATCATTCTAAAATTCATATGGAACCAGAAAAGACCCCAAATAGCCAAAGCATTCCTGAGAAAGAAGAATAAAGCTGGGGGGATTATGCTCCCCAACTTCAAGCTCTACTACAAAGCCACAGTAATCAAGACAATTTGGTACTGGCACAAGAACAAACCCAGAGACCAATGGAACAGACTAGAGAGCCCTGATATAAACCCAACCATATATGGTCAATTAATATATGATAAAGGAGCCATGGACATACAGTGGGGAAATGACAGCCTCTTCAACAGCTGGTGTTGGCAAAACTGGACAGCTACATGCAAGAGAATGAAACTATATTGTCTATCCCTATACACAAAAGTAAACTCGAAATGGATCAAAGACCTGAATGTAAGTCATGAAAACACACCTCTTAGAAGACAACATAGGCAAAAATCTCCTGAATATAACCATGAGCAACTTCTTCCTGAACGCATCTCCTTGAGCAAGGGAAACACAAGCAAAAATTACCTCATGGGACTACATCAAACTAAAAAGTTTCTGTACGGCAAAGGACACCATCAACAGAACAAAAAGGCATCCTACAGTATGGGAGAATATATTTGTAAATGACATATCTGACAAGAGATTAACATCCAAAATATATAAAGAACTCACATGCCTCAACACCCAAAAAGCAAATAACCTGATCAGAATATGGGCAGAGGATATGAAGAGAAAGTTCTCCAAAGAAGAAATTCAGATGGCCAACAGACACATGAAAAGATGCTCCACATCACTTATCATCAGGGAAATGCAAATTAAAACCACAATGAGATATCACCTCACACCAGTAAGGATGGCCAGCATCCAAAAGACTAAGAACAACAAATGCTAGTGAGGATGCAGAGAAAGGGAAACCTTCCTACACTGCTGGTGGGAATGTAAGGTAGTTCAACCATTATGGAAAGCAATATGGAGGTTCCCCAAAAAACTAAAAATAGAAATACCATTTGACCTGGGAATCCCACTCCTTGGAATTTACCCAAAGAATACAACTTCTCAGACTCAAAAAGACACATGCACCCCTATGTTTATTGCAGCACTATTTTACAATAGCGAATATATGGAAGCAACCTAAGTGACCATCAGTAGATGAATGGATAAAGAAGATGTGGTACATATACACAATGGAATACTATTCAGCCACCATTTGCAACACCATGGATGGAGCTGGAAGATATTATGCTCAGTGAAATAAGCCAGGTGGAGAAAGACAAGTGCCAAATGATTTCCCTCATTTGTGGAGTATAACAATGAAGCAAAACTGAAGGAACAAAATAACAGCAGACTCATAGACTCCAAGAAGGGACTAGTGGTTACCAAAGGGGAGGGGTATGGGAGGGCAGGTGGAGGGAGGGAGAAGGGGATGGAAGGGTATTATGTTTAGTACACATGGTGTGGGGGGGTCACGGGGAAAACAGTGTAGCACAGAGAAGGCAAATAGTGAATCTGTGGCATCTTGCTGCACTGATGGACAGTGACTGCATTGGGGTATGGGTGGGAAGGACTTGATAATATGGATAAATGTAGTAACCACATTGTTTTTTCATGTGAAACCTTCATAAGAGTGTATATCAACAATACCCTAATAAAAATTTTAAATAAAAAAAGACTTCAGGTTAGCAAGAGCCAAAACAGGCATGCTGTTCAATACAGGCCAGGTCAGGTTTGTAGCCAGCATAAGTGCCAGATAGGTCCCTGAATGCTTCCTACATACCTTACCCAAAGGTGTGTCCCCATGGCTGGTCACTGTACTTGAAATTCTACCATTTAAGTAGCATTCTTTGGGGCTATACATTGCTTTCTTGACATACTTGTTTTCAAAGCTACCCTGGTAGGGTGACACATTAAAACTAGTACCTGTGTACAAACTGTTCACTGACGAGGGTGACTGGGAGGAAGGGGGTAGCACAAAGCACTGGTTAAGAGCAAGGGTGACAGAAAGTGATACAGACAGCTTGAGTAGGGGCCACTCCTGACTTCAGGGTGCAGGTGGCTGGGTCCCAAGTGAAGGATCAAGAGAAGTTCAGATGTAAAGGTCATTAAAGGTAGAGGTCACAGAAGTCCCCCATGGTAGTGCAAAGAAAGGTTTTGGCAGCCAAAGCAGGTGCAGAACAATCTCCACCCTCCGTGGTCCCCCCAGGGCTCTAGTTCCTCTCCCTTGCAGAGCCCTGAGGCCCTGTGCCTGCCCCTTGTCTAGTGATGCGGACTGAAAAGAACCCACAAGGATACAGGCAATGGATCTGGCTGCTGGGTAGCACCCCAGCCCCCAGCCCCCATCTCACACAGCTGCCCCAGTAGACATGCCTCCCTCCCCACTGCCCAACAGTTCCCTGATGCACAAGATAAAGGGATAATCTAAAGGGGTGAGAGGAGTCCATAGGGTCTGAGTGTGCCTCTGAAGGGGCAGCCAAGTGCTCCAGCCTCTCCACATTAGAGTAGTAAATAACATGTATCCAACCTTTAGAAATGCCAAGAACCATTCTAAGATTTAGTCAGATAAACTCATTTAATCCTCACAACAACACTAGGGGACATAGATTTAAAACTGTACTATTCTTCCCCACTTTACAGCTAAGAAAACCAGTACAAAGAGGTTAATTGTGCAAAAGCACACAGCTTGTGAGAAACAGAGCAGGGTGTAGGCCTGGGCTGCCCTACACTGCAGACCCACACCCTTACCCACTGGGCACTCAGCCCTCGTGCCGTCATCTCTACCAGACCAGGCAGGGCAGAGGTGGGAGCAGCATTTAGTGGCCACCAGCTCTGGACCAGGCACTTGACAAACACTTGTGTTCTCAGAACCCAGTGAAGATGAACCATGAACATTCACTGTCCATGTGGGGAAGCAAGAGCAGAGGTCTGATCATCTGCCAAGAATACACAGCCCAGGAAGGGGTGGAGCTGAAATCCGAATCTAGGTCTGAGCTCTGCCCCTGCAGGTGCCCCCACCAAAACCAATGCCAGCCCCTGGAGGTGAGCAGACTGGAGACCAGGAGGAAGGGAGAGGAGGCTGGAGAGGAGCTCTTAAGGTGGTCCTCAGGCCTACCAGGCACTTGAGGTTTCCCAGGGGTCCAGGGGAACCTCTGGATATCTCACACTCCTTCCCTGGCAGGAAAGCGGGGGGACCCCAGGGGTGAGGGACTGGCCAGAGCTACCAGGTCTCTGAAGAGGAGCCACCCTGACGCTTCTGGGGCAAGGGCAACCACTGGGCTCTAGGGGCTGGACTGAGGTCCTGTGGGATCCCCTATTATGCACAACTGCTGCCAGCTGCCATGAACCAAGATGTTGCCACCCCCTGCACTCTCGAGCAGCACCTCTTGATCTGTGGACTTGGGCAAACCGGGATAGGGCCTGGACAGGGCGCCACCTCAAAAGGACATGGGCAACACCCACTGGCGAGAGGGTGAGGTCCGCGTAGACAGCTGAGACTGGTGTGGGAGCCCAGGAGCATGAGCGGGGATGGAATTACTGCCTCCCATGCTCAGTCCCACGGCAGCGTGGCCTCCTCTCTCACCAGCCCCCATCAGCCCCAGGCGCAGGGACAACCCGGCTCTGAGACTGCGATGCGGGTCAGGCGTGCCTCGGGGGAGGGAGGAGACGCGGCGGGGCGGCGCGGGTGCCTCACTGGAGCAGGCGTCGTCGGTACAGCACGGCCAGGAGTGTGGCCAGGAGCGCCCCCGCCGCAGCCACCCCGAGCCACTGTGCCCAGGGGACAGTGCCCACGCCCAGCTGCTCCTCCGCTGCCGGGGCCTGTGCGGCGGCGCGCTGCCCAGGGATGTCCTTCAGGGTCTGTGCTTTGGGGCTCTCGGCCACATGGATGCTAAAGGTATGCATCGACTCGTACTCGTTCTCCTCCAGGGCGTTGTCAGACCCCGGGCCCAAAGAGTCGCGACTGATGGCGAGGTCCGCGGAGCAGCCCGAGAATGGCTGGCTGGCCATGTGGGAAGCCAGCACGCCGGGCTTGCTCAGCTCAGGCTCTGAGCCCCAGGGATGTGGGCCGCCCCCAGCCGTGGTCCCGGAGGGGGACGCTGGAGTCTCCTGGGAAAGGAAGGAGGAAAACTTGGGATGGCAGAGGGACAAGCCAGATTGGATGGCCCCATTCCCAAGCCAGGGCATGAACTAGCAACCCCACCCCCAATTCCTACCCATAGTGCTGGTGAGGCCACCCTTTCTTGGGGACTCAACCTGCTGATGGGGCAGGAGGGCAGTGGGGGAGGAGGGGACAAAGGCCCTGCGGCAGCACCAGTGACCTCCTCCAGGGCAGCCCTCCGCCTCCTCACTGGCCTGCCTATGAGCTCTCCCCTACCCTCTCCACCCACTCAGAGCCTTTGGTGGTGAGTGGCTCCATCCTTTGGTGGTGAGTGGCTCCATCAACATTCTGCCTGGGCTCCAGGGCTATGGAGCAGCTAATAGGCCAGAGGCCTGGTCATGAGCCCGCAGGGCCCCACCAACTTGGTCCCTCAAGGCAGATAGCAGCAGCGGGGTCAGACGTGCAGGCATGGAAGGGGCAGCAGTCAGGGGCCTGCAGGGTCAGAGTGGCTGCCCCCTGCTGGATAGGCTGGGACTGTCTGAATACCTGTGTCATGGAGGGGCAGGCCAGCTGTCCTGGTGGTGAAAAGCAAGGCACTGAGGCAGACAGGCCACTCTGCTCGATCCCTCACTGTTTCATCAGCAGCAAAATGGCACTGCTAAGCTTTACAGGGAATCTGAGCTCTGAATTGTGACTTAATGCATGTGACCAGTGGGGGTGGCCCACCATGCCCGACCCTCCTGGCATCCACACTAAGAACTGTAATGACTATTATTACTCTAAAGGGTATGGTGTGGGGTATGGATGAGGGTAGGTCTCAGCTGTCCCTACACCCTCAAAAATAAGGCCTGGACTAGTCCAGATCAGAGACAAAATGGAGGCTGGAAAGGATGCAAGGACAGAGCTGGGGGCAGGGGCCTGGACCACTGCAAGGAGCAGGACTCACCTTCACAGGTCTGTCTGTGCTCCTCTTGGTGGGCACTGTGTTGGCAGGCACCTGGCTGGGCACCATGTTTGCAGGCATCCTGTGGTCAGTAGGCACTTTAGGTGGTGCTTTGGGTGGTGCTGTGCCAGCACGTGTTGAGTTGATGGGCAATTTGGATGGCATTGGGTTGGTGGGTACATTAGCAGGCATTGTACCAGGAGGCTTTGAGCTTGTGGGCAACTTGGAAGGCACCAAGCTGTTACCCACTTTGGAGGGTGACGTGCTGGCAGTTATAGAGTTAGTGGGCGCCCCTGCCCCACTGGAGCAGATGGCAGCCTCACCCTGCTCATGGGCACCCCCTGCAAAGACCACGCCAGTGGAAGAGGAGGACATGCCAGTGGATGGAACTAACACTGAGGGTCCAGGCAAGCGGCTTGGTCTGGGGGTGGAACGGGCCCGGGGCTGGAAGGAGACAGTCGGAGACACAGGCCCACGGGGTGATGGGAGGCTGGAGACCATGCCTGCAGGTGGAAAAACAAAGAGGACTATTACCCTAAAATCACAGTCACCCTGAGATCAGGAGGCTGAGGAAGGGTCTCTCTGCCCCAGCTCAAGCCCCTACTGCATCCAGGCCTCCCAACCTCCTCCCCAGTGGGGAATTCCACAGTTCCTTTGGTCACTGCTCCCAGGCCCCAAGATCCAGCAGGTGCAGGCACATTCTGGGTCCTGTCTATCCTCAGACCTTGACCTGTGGCCCAGATCTGCGCTCCCTCAGGGTGAAATAGCCCCTCCCTCTCATGGCACCCAGAAGCTTGATGATGGTTATTAATTATTCTCTGCTTTTTCTTCTCCTGCCTGGGACACCCCCTTTCCTCCTGTGCCTGCCTTTGTCATTTCCTTAACCTGGTGGAATCCTGAATACTCCCCCCACTGCCAACCCACATCCGCCACCAGCAAAGCAATCCTGGACCAGGGCAAAGGGCAGCAGGGTTGCTCCAGCAGGAGAGTTCCCGCCAGTCAGGTGACACCAGGATCCCAGCCAGGCCCCATTGTATGCAGATCTAGGAGGCCTAAGGGCTGAGTAGGGAGAGGGTGTGAAGGGACAAAGCCACCCCCAGGGGGAAAAGGGCATACACCTGGGGAAGCAGAAGGGAGTAGGTGGCGACATACAGTTATATCAGGATTCCCCCACGGAGCTTTGAGAAAGCATGTGCCAGCCCCTACAGGCTAACAAAGACCTGGGGCGATTTTGATGCCTCCCTGCCAAATCTGCCACCACAGAATTCATGGGACCTCTGTCCAGGCATGTAGTGAAATCTAGGTGTCTTTTGCTTCCCTGGTCCACAGTGGCATTTCTTGAAAGATGCTCCCTGGCAAGATGACATCACAAAGTATAAGTGAGTGCTTGGAGCAGAGTTTGGGGGTGATGGTAGTACAGGGCATTCAGATGGCTTTTAGCCTTTAACTGCTATGTGCCCTGGCTGTCCCAGGGGCACCGAGGGCTGGTGGGGCACCAGCATCATGTGGAGCCCAGTTTGGGAAAGAGCAGTGCAGAGAGATGCCAGCCTGGGAGATCAGAGCGGTAGCTCTGTATTCCTGACAGGAAGCACTAAGGTCTGGTGTGAGGGTCTGGGCCTTTGACTGATGACGACCATACTTCCTCTGGGGGCTGAGAAGTTTTAGTGGTTCACTGGGAGCTAGAGACCCCTGTGGGGGTAGGGCTCCCTTGCCAACAGCTGGCCCAGCCCTTCTGCATGCCCCCCAGGTCCTGGTAAGCCCCTACAGAGTCCATCTGATAGAAAGCAGAAGTGGCCCTCATTCTCTTCCCTACCTGCATGCATACCCTCTGCAATGTAGCTCCGTCCTCTTACCTAGGAATGGAGTCTGTCCCTGTTCTTCATTCTGGGCTGACCTTATGACTTGCTCTGGCCCACAGAATGAGGCAGGAGGAACACTGCCATTTTGAGCTTCTGCCCCAGGAGCCTTCTCAGAATTCTGTTCAGCTGCCATGAAAGGGTTTGTCTGCTGTTGGATGAGGAACTCATGGAAGCGAACCAAGGTACCCCAGCCAACAGCCATAAGCAGGGCTTTTATGCACACTGGTGTGTACACAGGAGGGAATTCAGACAAGATCCAAGAACTCCCCAGCTGAGCCAGCCCAAATTGCTGACCCACACAATCATGAGCTAAAAAATAGTCATATTTTAAGCTACTAAATTTAGGGACTGTTCATTACATAAGAAATGCTAATATGCCCGCTAAGAACTGGGTTGCTCCCTGGGGTGAACTCCCTTTATTCCCACCCTTGCCTCCAGTCCAAGGAAGAGGGGCAACTCTGATCTTCACCCACACTGAGAGGTCAGAAAGGCCCTGTAACTCCAGATTCCACACATACCTGCCGCCTGGGTATTACCCAGTTCTGTGTCCTGCTCCTGATGCCCACTGGAGGTCAGAGGACTGACAGCTGCCATGTCAGAGGTGGGCTCTAGGGGGCTACCAGGTATCTGTGGGGCTTTTGTTGAACTCTGCAACACGAAAAATGTGAATAAGGCAGTTGCTTCTCCCAGGAGCTGGCAAAGGGCAGCTTACACTCATGGGGCAGCTCCTTCCAGCCGCAGCCCATGTCATGGAGCCCAGAAACCAAAGAAGTCCTTGCCTCAGCTTCAGTAAGTGCCAGACCCTGTCTCAGATGACTTTGAACCCATGTCACAGAAAACACACATACCCATGGGGAGTCCCTATTCACCTGTCTGGCTCTGTAGAAAGGTGCCTCTCTAAAGCCACTGCACAGATCTCTTTCTTGAGCTTTAAGTCCATGGTTTGGTGTCTCCTAGATACCCCACTGCCCATTCATCTATCCAAATAGAATCAGTCATCTTTCCCTCAAACTTGACTTTACTAGCAATAATTATAGCTCCACCATCCCCTCCCCACCCCCTCCTGCCCTGCTCCCTCACTCCCCTCACCTGGGCATTCCCTGGTCCCTTGACCCAACCCAACATCTCACATGGACCACTGCCACTGCAAAGACCTCCAAGTGTGACCTCACAGCTGGCTGATGAGAGGGTTGGGTCTGCCACAGGATAAAGCCCTGGTCTGCCGTCCGGGAGCTGGTCTAGGGCAGATCCCCCTAGGGAACCCTGGGATTCTGAGCAGAGATCAGGAATGATTTGGGGGAGTCAAGAAAAAGCTTCTGGAAGGCTGGGTGAGCAGAAGTGGGTAAAGAGAAATACAAAAGCAGGGGGTGCAGGGTAGGTCAAGACAACACACCTCTCCCAGGGCCTCTGGTGGCTGGGTGTCCTGAACAGGGACTGGGAAACTTGGCTCCACCTCTCTGTAGCCATTGTGGGGGATGCTGGGTACCACAGCAGGAGTTGAGGGCCCTGGAACCTGAGCAGGAACTGACAGCGGCTCCAGAGGGGCTGGGGGGCGGTTCGGGGTCCCTGGAGAACAAAGATACAGTGACGACAAGGAGGAATCAGGGGAATCTCTGACAGTAGGGGTCTGGGTTCTGTTGGACCCCCAGGTCCACAGTTACCAGGCCCACATCTCCAAGACCTGTCCTGATGTGGGACACACTCCTCAGAGGAGACTAGCTTCACTGAGGGGGAGGCAGGAGTGGGAGGGAGAAAGGAGTCAGGGACAACAAGGAGAGGCAGGAGGAGAGAGCGGGACGAGAGAGCTCGTGGGCCTCTCACCACCCAGACTGGATCAGCAGTCACTATTTCTCTGTGCCCAGGCATTCTGGGCTTTCTCTTCCTCCTGGTAGGTGGCTGTCACCACTAACAGACCCTGACCTGCTGCTGCCTCCCCGGCCCCCCACTCTCTGCCCCACCTCCTGCCCCTGGCCCCACCACAGTTGTTTGCATTCAGGAGATTGCTGTTCATCTCCACAAATGAAGAGACACCCTTGGAAGGAGGGAAGGGAGGGAAGAGGAGAGAAAAGAAAGAGGCAAACAAGGCGATATTCTAAGGCTGCAAATCTGAGCAGGGTCTCAGGAGTTGTCACTAGACTGAAATATAAATAGGGTTGGCTTGTGTTTCTTCCTGTCTCAGCCCCTCAGACCTGACCTCACCAAACCCCCTCTGGGCACTTGGCCTGGCAGGAGGGCTGAGAGGGAGCTGAGGAGTGATGGGGCAGCTGGGGCAGGGACCTAGAAGGCTCCAGGGGGAGGGGAGGAGAAGAGGGAAGAGGAATGAAGGAGAAAGAGGAGACAGTGGAGGGAGGGGAGAGCGAGGGGAGTGGAGAGGAGAGGAGACAGGAGGAAGTGAGAAAAGAGCAGGAGGCAAAGGTGGTAGCCACAGAATTAGAAGAGGCACTGTTGGCTGAGCCCATGGAGGTGCCAGCCCCAGCTAAGCACTCATCATGCCATTGCTGGAGGGTGCCAACCACAAACCTACAAGGTAGATATTGCCGTTAGCCCATTTCACAGAGGAGAAGACTGAGGCTCAGGGAAATCAAGGGACATAGCCAAAGGCCATGGCTACCTGGGATGTACACCCAAGTTTGTTCACTGCCCAGGAGTAGCAGGAGGGAGGTGACAGAGAAAGGCAAGAGGCACAGAGGTTGGGGGAGAAGGAGAGTGGAGGCCTGGGGGACAGACAGGAGGAGGACCAGGGCAGGAGGCTCACGGGGCAGGTTGCTTTGGTAGACCTGGGCCACTTCATTAGCGAGACCAGTCATCTCACAGGCCCTCAGTGCCTTAATGAAGGACTCCACCCAGCTGTTGCGCCGTCGAAGGCTGTTGAAGAGGTCCAAGAGGGTGTCCTGGTTCCCAAAGCGCTCATAGGAAGCCCGCAGTCTGTCCTGAAAGACACAGCCCACCACCTGCTCAGCCAGGTGGCCCTGGTCCCTCCCCACTTGGAGGGGACGGCAGCAGAGAGGCTCCGGGCAGCCATCTGAAACTGGATCAGAGCACAGAACCAGGCCAGGGTCTGAGCCCATGTTTAAAGGCAGCTATCAAGAAGTAGGCTCTTAGTGTATCCCAGTCTCCCCATTCAGAGTTGTGCATGAATTATCTTAATGCTATTACCCCTACTCACTGATGAGCAACCTGAGGCTTAGCAGAAATAAGGTAACAAAGATCCTACACCAGCCCGGGGCATGAGTCCCGACCCAGGAGGTCAAAGCCTTGCGCTTCTACAGACCTAAGGCAAAAAGAGAGCCTTTGGATTAGCAAAGGAGGAAAGGGTGTGTAGGAAAAATAAGGCGAAAGAAACAGGGCAAAGGAGCAAGGAGGCCAACTAAGAAACAGGGAGCATAAGCCGGGGCAAGATTGAAAACCTGGTGCAAGTCCACCCAAATTCCCACAGACAAGCAACCAGGCAGCAGAAATGAAAATCCATGAGAGCATTTACTACAGAGCTAGGGACAAACCACAAAATACAAGAAGGGCCCAAATCCCATCAGCCACAGACCTGTGTGCCCCCAGCATCTGTTAGGAGGAAGCAGCGGAGAGCCCAGGGGTACTGATCTGAGAACAGCTAACTTGGGAGGGATCTGGCCCACGACACTAGGGGCCCACAGCAAATTCTGGGGGAGTTAAGGAGGTCTGCCTCCTGTGAACTCTCAAAACTAGGCCCCGGGCTCCCTGCCAGCATCCCACGACAGGGGGAATGGAATCAAAACCAAGCAGGAACAACAAGAGAGAGGAAGAAAAATAAACGGTTCCAGTAAAAGTCCGGGAGGGGAGTGGAACCCGGAAATCCCAGCCAGCCAGAGCTGTATTTTTTAGCACTACACAAAAATGACACAAGAGGGAGCCCAGTGAGGCTGGAACTGCTCATTTTGAAAGTTAGAAAAATGTCAAGGACAGGAAGGAAGATAGAGAGGACAGAAAAGGAAGGAGGTGGGCCTGGCTTGGGTGAAACTCTGAACTCCACAGCCCTGTCCCCGGCCAGTGGCTGGCTGCCATGCCCTGGCTCACCTGGTCACTTGTTGTAAGGCAGGACAGGTAAGGCAGAATCTCCAGCACATGAATATGGCAAAAATTGCTGTGATGGCTGCGTATATATGCAAAAGTCTTTTCCTCAGCAAACGTCATCGCTGTCCAGGTTCTGAAGTGACAGAGGCTCTGACCCGTGAAGGGTGAATGGCCTGAAAGGAAAAAAGGAATAAAACATCCCACATGGCAAGACTTGGGAGTGGGGTTGGACAAAAGGCAATTCTTTCTCCACTCTTGGGGATTTTTTTCTTTTTCCTGTAATCGTTATTCTCATTAAACATCCTATTTGATTACTGCCTGAGTTCCATAGGCCATGAATGAATTTGCTTAAAAATGAGCTGATGACCAGAAAAAATCCAATCCAAGGGATCTAGGGCTCTGGTGGGTGATGTCTGCCTGGTGGGTGTTGGGGAAGGCTCTAGTTCTCCACTATCATCCAGGTGTGTACGTGCCCCCAGCCACTGGCAGCAGGAGGGCGCCACCTAGAAGTGCTGTTTCTTTGACGGTATACTAGAGAAAAGCAGCAGCAGCCCAACATGATAACAATCGGATTGCCCTACTTGAAAGGTGAAGAAAATGAAGTCCCAAGAAACCAAGGGGCTTGCTAGTGAGTGGACAAACAGAACAGGCTGCAGCCCACAAAGTGCTGAGGCCTCAGTCCCATGGCCACATCTACTGACCTCACAGTCATAGTCCTAGGTTGCATGAGTTGTTTTGCTAAGCACTAAGGGGCTACATCCCTGGTGGGGCAAGTGCTAATAACAGAAGTCAAGAGGTTCAGGGAGGTGGTGATGGTGTGGGGGTGGGGGGTTCTCTGAGCCATCAAGAGATGAACAAAGAACAATTCTGTGGATGCAAATGGCCCCTTTCCTGCTCCCCCATGGCTCCAGGGAGGTACCAGCAGAAGTCAGGTATTACCCTCTTCTGCACCCCAGCCTCAGCCCTTAAGGCACAGAGTGTGGGGGTATGATATGGTCCAATGAAAAAGAAAGGAAGCCCGTATGTGTTCACAGTCATGGAGTGTCCACTATAGGCAGGCACATGCTTACTTTCTTTCATTGAGCCCCTTCCACAATACCCTGAGAGAAGTGGTGCCATTGCAGCCGACCAGTGGCCCTGACAGGATTTGAACCCAGGTCTTGCTGCCTCACTGCAGTTCACAATACACCTTGCAGGGCACATAGGCCCCTGCAGCAAGGGTGACTCACAGAGCCCTCTGCCTTCAAGCCCTTGGGAGGGGCCAAGGCCACTGCCTGGGTGAGGGGGTCGCCGGGTGAGGGTATGCCTGGAAAGATGCAACATTTAGTCCCTTCTCTTGTGAGATGGAAGTCTTCAAGAAGGGGCTGAGGACATTCTAACCCTGCCCTCCAGGGTAGCCGTGGTTCTTGGGTTGCTGATCGTCCCTTCCAAAGGTTTTTGAGGTTCTACAGCAGCCGACGTTATGGGGAACGTCGTTTTTGTTTTTGTTTTTATTTTCCATGTTTTCCTGGCACCTCTCTCCGGTCTCAGAGAAGATGGGCAGAGGGGTGTCGCAGACTGACGTTTGCAAGAGACTCCCACCGACTGCCCCAGAGGCCTATCAGGGCACTCGCAATTCCGGCTCAGATTCCAGGATTCCTGGACCGGACCCAGGTCCGCGGAGGGGGTGGGGGCTGGTGTTCGGAGCAGGTGTCACCGAGAACTGTCAAGACTCAGGGAAGGGCGACAGCTCTTAACCCCCAGGCGCGGCCGCGGCCGCCAGAGTTTGACGCACTCGCGCCAGGCCGCGCCCGGGGGTCACCCTGGGTCTGCGGGCCGCAGGAGGAGCTCAGAAGCCGGCACTGGCTCCTTCCGGCCCAACTTCCCAGCAGCCGGAGCAGACGCCCCGCGCCACTCACCTCCCGACCCCTCTGCGCAGGACACGGCGCGTGGAGCCCTCGCTGGCCCGCACCGCAGGTGCCTTCGGACCCTCTCTTCTCGAGCCCCGCGTGCCCCAGGCCCCAGGCGCTCCTGCGTACTCCGAGTCTCACGCGGCTCCTTCCGCCGCGGGCCACCACCCCGAAAGGCGTCCGTGCACCCTGTGCCTAGAGGACCGAGAGCCCGGGACACAGCGACCTTACCTCCAGAAGTCGCGACCCCGTAACCTGCAGACACACACCAGTCCACTGCCGCGAATGCTTCCCAGCAGGGCGGGGGCGGGGCGGGGCGGGGCCGAGCGGCCATTGGCCAGACCACCGGGACGGCGGCAGGAGGCCCTTGGCCTTGGTTTGGGGGCCTGGACTCGCTGGATCCGCTCTTGGGACAGATCTCCGTTCTTGCTGGGGCCCAAAAGAACAGATTATTTTCTTTCCTTGTTTGTCTAGAACAAGGAAATCCAGGGTCTGGCTAGAAACCAAAGGCTGACTTGGAGTCCGGGTCCCCGCACTTTCTAAGCGAAGCAATCCTTCCTCCTAACGAGTAATTCCAGGAATGAGGGTCTCTTCGTCATTGGCTCCTGGGCACCGAAGGTTTGGCACATAGTTTGGGTGACACGCAAAGTTCACAAGGGTGCAAGTGCCCAGCCAGGTGACACACATGCCAGGCCTGAGGAAGCAGAATGGGGGGCGAACAGGTGGGTGTAAAGCAGGGCCGGCAAGGTTGGCTGGGTGTGGGCTGAGTGCTGTGTGGCAAAGGCCTTCCGCAAAGGTCTGGGGCGGGACTTCCCCCACAGTGTTTGCCAATCACCTCCCGTTTCCTCTGTTGGGGCAGAAGCAAGGAAAAATTGAGCACCTACTGTGTTCCAGGTACAGGTTTACAGTCTTATACCTTAGAGCCCATTCAATACTCTCACAGTAACCAGGTGGAGATTTATTTTTTCTGCTTTAAAAAGAGATGAAAAGATTTTGGGAGATGTTTGACAGCTCTTGCTGAAGTTAAACATATGCCAAGAGTATCACTCAGCAACCATTCCTGGGTATATGTCTACCTGGAAACATGCAGCACAAATAATGTTCATTGTGGTTTTATTCCCAATAGGCAAACTTCTGAAGCAACCCAAATGTGCATCAGCAAGAAAATGGAAGTAAAACACATGCGTGCGCATCATTGAATAGTATACAGCAGTGAAAGAGAACAAACTACTGATGTATATACATGGGTGAATCTCACCAGGATGAATAGGCACTGTGGCAAACCAAGCTAAGCACAAAGAGTACATGCTGTCTGTTCCCATTCACAAAGTAAGGTCAGGTTCAAAAACAGGCAAAAAGTCATCTACATAAATAGAAATCATATCATTGGTTACCTCTGGGAGGTGTTGAGGGATAGGGTACAAGGGAGTCTTCTGGAGGAATGGAAATGTTCTGTATCTTGATGTAAGTGGCGTGTCCATGGCTTGCACATATGTAAAAATGCATCAGCTGTTCACTTAAGACTGTTACATGTTATGCTACAACTTAAAAAAGTAACCTTTACACTTACAAAATGTTATTATCACTCATCAACTTAACTAACTGTAAGAAAGCCAGCTCTGCCTTGTTTAGCCAAGACAGGGTAAATATTGACTGACTGAAGAATTACTCCTGCCTGCTACAAATCCAGTGACCTCCGATCTAATGCCTGCAGCAATAACACTGCGAGTCTTGGTTACTGGCTTCCAAATGCAGCTGTCATCTTGTCTTTGATGGACTTTTCAGGGCATTTAAAAAATACAGCTTCCTCAAAAACATGGTGAGATACTGTATTAATCCATTTGGGCTGCTGTAAACAAAAATACCATGACAGGGTGGCTTACACAACAAACATTTATTTCTCAGTTCTGGTGGCTGAGAAGTCCCGAGATTAAGGTCCCAGATTTGATGCCTGGTGAGGGCCCACTTCCTGGTTCATAGGCAGTCTTCTTGCTGTGTCCACACATGACAGAAGGAGCAAAGGAGGGCTCTGAGTTCTCTCAAGAGAGCACTAATTCCACTCATGAGGGCTTCACCCTTAGGACCTAATCACCTTCCAAGACCCCCACCTCCAAATACCATCATGTTGAGGATTAGTTTTCAATATATGAATGGGGGTGAGGGGCACAAACACTTTGTCTATAGCACATATAAGCCATTAGGATGGCTATAATAAAACAGACAGAAGATGACAATTGTTGGCAAGGATGTGGAGAAACTGGAACCCTTGTACATTGCTGGTGTAAATGTGAAATGGCGCAGTTGCTATGGAAGAGTGTGGCAGTTCCTCAAAAAAAAAAAAAAAGAATTATTGTATGATCCAGCAATTCTGCTTCTGGATACATACCCAAAGAAATGAAAGCAGAGACTTGAACAGATAACTATATGTTCACGTTCGTGGCAACATCAGTCACAATACCCAAAAGGCAGAAACAACCCAAATGCCCACCGATCAATGAGTGGATTAACAAAATGTGGCATATACATATGTGGAATATTATTTATCCTTAAAAATGAAGGAAGAAAAAAAAAGGAAGGAAATTCTAACACATACTGTAACATGGATGAACTCTGAATCAGTTATGTTAAGAGAAATAAGCCAGTCACAAAAGGGCAAGTATTGTATGATTCCACTTATGCGGGGTATCTAGAGTAATCAAATTCACAGGAACAGAAAGTAGAATGGTAGTTCACAGGGGTTGGGGGCAATGGAGAATGGAGAAGTAGTGTCTCAACGGTAGAGAGTTTCAGTTGGGGAAGTTCTGGAGATGAATGGTGGTAATGGATGCACAATGATATGAATTACTGAGTGCTACAGAATTGTTATATATGTATTTTACCACAATAAAAATCCTGGCTGAGGTGCTTTCCTGCCACCTTTGGCAGGGACCCAAAGGAAGACATAACTCACATCTATGGTATTTTTGCCAAAACTCATATCTGGAGCATACTATAAAGAAACATAAAACAAACTCAAAATGAGGGACATTCAACAGCTGACTTGTCCAGTACAGTAGCCACTTGCTACATGTAGCTATTTTATTTAAAATGAAATAAAATGTAAAATTCAGTTCCTCAGCCCCACCAGCCACATTTCAAATGCTATTTTCATGAGGCTAATGGCCATATCATATTGGATGGCACAGATATAGAACATTTCTATCATCAGAGTTAAGAAAAAGTTATATTGGACAGCACGGATCTACTGAGTAACTCTCCAAAGATGTCAAGAACATAAAAGACAAGGAGACACTGAGGAGCTGTTCCAGCTTACAGGAAAATAATGAGACATAACAACTGAGAGCAATATGGAATCCTGGGTTGGAGCCCAAAACAGAAAAAAGGATATCAATGGGACAAATGACAAATCTTACTAAGGCTTTTGGATTAATAATATCCTATCAGTGTTAGTTTTCTGGTTTTGATCATTGTACTGTGGTTATGTAACATGTACACATTTGTATTATTTTTGCAACTGTTTTGTAAATCTGAAATTATTTCAAAATGAAGAAGTAAAAGGTAGAATAAAATTGTAATATCACCTTTGGACCCTATCTAGCTGTATTATTTTATCTTTACTGTGGTTGCATCCCACCCAATTTCATGACTAGAATTCATTGATCATTGTCCATTTATTAGGAGAAGGGTGAGTCCAGAGAGTGGCCTATACACCAGGCTGCTCCCCATCCCCCAGTGAGGGCCTTGGAGCCCCCATCCGCAGTAAACCTCACCCCCAGGCAGGTGGCCCAAGCCCCCAGGCCACTGCTCCAAGAAGGACAGTGGCTCACATATGATACCTCAGCAACCACCAGCTCACATCTTGCCCCAGAGAGCAGTTAGGCCCAAAGAGAATGCCAGAGGGTGCCAAAAAGGGACATGTTCTCATGTCTGAGTCCTTTCAGGGAATTTTCCAAGGCTGAAAAACAAAACATAATCCCTTCTTTCAAATACATTTTTAAACTGTTATAGTCCTTAAACCATTTTGGTTTTTTTCACTGTTAATTTTATTACCAAAAAATTGAGATATGCTCAATTAAGCTGGAGGAAAATTATATGCTTTCATAGTTAATATAGGGAAAAATAGAAATGTTTGATGAAGAAAAACTAAAGCCATGCTCATAATGCCACCACCCAGGAGAAACTGCTGGTGACATTCTAGTGTCTCTTCTAGAATTTTCTTTTCTCTAATACAGGGCCTCTCAGTACTCTGCTTCCAAGAGTCTTGACCAGCCATATAAGATGACTCAAGCCATGATCTGGGACATAATAGGTCCAGTATGAGCCCACTTTACCTCTAAGGGGTCTCAGGAGGGGGCTTAGTCTACATTGTCCAGTGGGTCAGTCCCTGCTGCAGCCAGCTCCTCCAGGGCTGTCTAGCCACTGTGGTCAGCATGGTCTCCTGATCAGCCTGTGTTGCTGGTCATCCTCCACTCAGCGGCTGCCATCCTGCCCTTCTTTCCTGAGAACTACTGAAATAAGTCGCTAGGCAGCAGACATTTACTTGGGGTTTAGAGGAAAAATGGTTAAGGAATGCATGGGCAGGGCATGCTGCAAAGTTAGATTCAGAGTTTCTAAAGTTCATGGATCTCTCCAACACAGGAGCCTTCTCCCTGGTCACATCCCTCCATGGCCCCAGCTTCCTGTCACACTGCTGGTGCCCTGCTTGCTTTCAGCCTCTCTTGCGGTCTCTTGGCATAGGGCCCCTCCCCCAGGATCTAGAACTCAGTGCAGAAAACAGAAACTGCTGCAGGTATTTTGTGCATGGGTTTTGTTTCTTGAAACATAATTTACATTCAATGAAATATATCAGTCATAAATTGCAACTTGATTTTTATCTGAGTAAATAGCTGTGTAACCAGCACCTATATCAAGATCTATAATACTTCCATTTCCCCAGGAACTTCTCTTGTACTCCATCAATCTCCACCCCCAATCATTATTCTGATTCCATCATTATAGTTTAGTTTTGCTTGTTCTTCAGTTTAATGCAAATGGAATCATATAATAGGTACTGTGTCTGGTATCTTTCACCCAACATGTTTTTGACATCCACCTATGTTGCTGCATGTATCAGAAATTTGTTCTTTCATTGCTAAGCAGTATTCTATTATATAAATACAACACAATTTGTTTATTCATTCTATCTGTAATGGGATGTTTGGACTTTTCTGGTTCTGGGCTATTAGGAATAAAGCTCCTATGAATATTCACACATGTCTTTTTGTAGAGCCATGCCCTCATTTAAAAATTGCTGGGTAGGGTATGTTTAGCTTTAGTAGAAGCTTCCAAAGAATTCCTCAAAGTGGTTTCCACCTTACACTTCCACCAGCAGCATATTCATGATTCCAGATGATCCAAACAAGTCCTCTTCTTCACTAATACTTGACATGGTCAGTTTTTTTCACAGGAAAGAATTTAATATACGGTATTAATTGTTTAAAAAATGGTGAGGGGACAGCAGCTGCACAGAGCCTCCCGGCAGCCGCCCGGGCCAGAACCAGAGACCCCGTCGGCACGCAACTCCCAGCACAAGCCACTAGGGGTCGCTGTTCTCACAGGAGAGGAAGGCAACGAGCAAGCCAGAAGGGACTTGGTTCTCCCAGCTGACACACACGACAATGCCCCACGACTACCTCTATCGCCATGAAAAGGCAGAAGACTTTGATCCAGACCAGAATCACATAGACATCCCCTGAGAGGGAACCTGGGAAGATAGATTTAACCAATTTTCCTGAAAAAGAATTCAAAATAAAGGTCATAACCATGCTGATGGAGCTGCAGAGAAAAATACAAGCGCTAATGGATAAAGTTGGGAGGGGGAATACAGAAATAAAACAATCTCTGGAAGGACGTAAAAGCAGAATGGACGAGATGCAAGAAGCTGTTAATGGAATAGAAATCAGAGAACAGGAACACAGAGAAGCTGACACAGAGAGAGATAAAAGGATCTCCAGGAATGAAAGAATATTAAGAGAACTGTGTGACCAATCCAAAAGGAACAATATCCACATTATAGGGGTACCAGGAGAAAAAGAGAGAGAGAAAGGGATAGAAAGTGTCTTTGAAGAAATAATTGCTGAAAACTTCCCCAAACTGGGGGAGGAAATAGTCATTCAGACAATGGAAGCACACAGAACTC